GTAGTGAAATTTAAAGGGAAGGTTAAGAGTCTGTTAACTTTGGTGAAAGCTATACGAGTTCTCCACAGACAAACTCAAAGATGGCTTATTTTTCATGTGTCTGTTCTTTCACCATAAAGCCTACAGAAGGTAATTTGCAGTCACAGGAGTGAATCTTAGAGACCCTTTCTTTTTCAGCCATTAGTACACAGTTGGTTCCTGACACTTTCCAGCTTTTACTCCTCCACAATGGTATTGATTGGCATAATAGTGGGTTGGAAAATAGGAATAAGACTTGACTGCTAGCTGGCTGTGTGGGCAGAAGTAGGGAGAGGGAGGAAGGAGAAGAAAGAGATTCCAAGGTCTCTGGCTATATACTATTACAACATGAGGTTGAGGTAGAAGTTTCTTTTTCAAATATTTTCATTTCTGTCATAACCTATGTATTGGCATTTTCATACATTTAGACTTAAAAAAATTTTATTTTAGTTGTAGGTGGACACAGTAATTTTATTTTATTTATGTGGTGCTGAGGGTTGAACCCAGGGCCTTACACAATTCAAGACGAGCACTCTACTGCTGAGCTACAGCCCCAGCCCCATTTAGACTTTTTTTAACACATTTTTTTTTTTTTTTACAAATAATTTCAAAATATATGATGTATGTGGAATGAAAACGACTGCTCTTTGAAAGGAACTTTTAATTTTTTTTCTTTTTTATACCAGGGATTAAGTTCAGGGGCACTCAAACCAATGAGCCACACCCCCAGCCCTTTTTGTATTTTATTTAGAGAGAGGGTCTCACTGAGTTGCTTAGTGCCTTGCTATTGCTGAGGCTGGCTTTGAGCTTGCGATCCTCCTGTCTCACCCTTCTGAGCTGCTAGGATTACAGGTGTGCGCCACTGCTCCTGGCTGAATTTTAGAATTCTAAGGAACTTGTGTGTAGTGTTTGGGGATGTCTCAGGAAAACTTCTGAAAGAACAGGTTTAACCAAGTCTTGAATTTAAAGGGTTGCGGGGAAAGGGAGGTTGGGAGGCATGGGGTTTAGGTATTAGGACCAGCAAGACAGCAAGGCATTTTTCACAGAGCTGTGAGTAGAGTCAGATGCAAGGGAAGGTGGTGGAAGAGATGAAGTCTCAATCGAAAATATACCTGACCTGCTATAGAAAATCAGTTCAGTGTTTCTCACATTTAAAAATAGAGAGAAATCGTGTTTTAAATTTAACATTAGTAAGATGAAATTGTGTTTTTGCCCTATCCTGACATACTCTGTTCCTTTGTTAAGACATATTTGGCATAGTCAACAGAAACCATGCAATAAGTGGGTAAATACAGGAGAAATGAGTTATAGATCTGAATAAACCACTTTTTGTATGAGCTAATTGTCATAATTTGGGTACTGCTTTGCATTAGTGCATTTGTTGTGTTTATTAATATATCATTGCATAGTAGAGTCACTTGTATCCAATTGAGTTGTGTGTTTTCTTCTATGTGTTCTTACTCTTCTAGGCCCCTCATCCCCCAGCCTAAGAAAAAAGAGAAGAAAAGCAGTATGGTACCATCTGTAAAAGTTCCATCACTCTTGGGGTTTTGTTTGGGGGGGAAGAGGTACAGTGTATTATAGAACAAACATAAGATGCTATTACATCACTGAGAAGAATTGCAATATATTGTTTCTTTTACAGTCAGAAGTCTTAGGAAAAGGTTTGCTTTCTGAAGATGTTTTGATCTCATGGATACCGTGAATCATACAATAATCTTGTTCCTTATTATTTGTGGATTCATAGAGATCAGAGCCAAACTTATGGCTTTACTTTATTAAGTAGTGCTCTTTGGTCTCTGTGGTCTGTGTTAACCTCTCACCTTTGTTTTATTATTTATTTATTTAGTTGTAGTTGGACACAATAATTTATTTATTTTTATGTGGTGCTGAGGATCGAACTCAGGGCCTTGCACATGCTAGGCAAGCGCTTTACTGATGAGCCACGATCCCAGCCCTTTACCTTTGTTTTATACTATTAGATATCTTGATTTTATTTTTTTTTCAGTGCTGGGGATTGAACTGGGACCTTGCATATGCTAGGCAAGTGCTCTACCACTGAGCTATGTCCCTATCCTGGTTATCCTGATTTTTCATCTGTGTTTTTTTTTTTTTCCTGTTGTGTTTTATATTGTTTATACTAGTATTAGCTAATTGTCCTACCCCAGACAAATGAAATCAGGGGAAGAGTTAGACTGGGTCCCAGGCTTTGGAATTGTTTTCCCTCCCTTCTTCCCGTCTTTCCTTTTGACAGGGTCTTGCCATCTTTTGCCCTGAATTACTAGGCTGAAGCCTAGTCTCTGCCTCCTGATTAGCTAGGACTGCAGGTGCATGTAATCATGTCTGCCTAGAATTTTGTTTAGCTGTTGATGGACTTTTATTTTATTCATTTATTTGTGTGTGGTGCTGAGAATCGAACCCAGTGCCTCACACATGTGAGGCAAGCGCTCTACCACTGAGCCACAACCCCAGCCCTTGCCTAGAAGTTTTTGAAAGCTCATCAAGTAGTGCTGATGTCCAGCTGAGTTTTTTTTTTTTTTCCTGGTGTGTGTGTGTGTGTGTTTTGTATTTTTAGAATATTGTATTTGTAGAACTCAATAGTAGAAAACAAATAACCTGATTTAGAAGTGGGCAAAGGATCTAAATAGACAAAAGGCATAGATACATAAAAATGGATAACAGGATATGAAAAGGTACTCAACATCATTAATCATCAAGAAAATGCAAATCAAAACTATTACAATATTACCTCACACCCATTAGGACAGCTATTATAAAAAAGTCAAAAGAATATCAAATGGTAGTAAGGATGTGGAAAAAATGAACAAACACCTGCACACTGTGGGCGGGTATGTGTACAGTCATTATAAAAAACTGTATAGAGGTTCTTAAAGAAGGTAAAAATACAACTACTCTATGACCCAATAATACCTCTTCTGGGCATATACTCAAAAGAAATGAAATCACCATCTAATAAAGATTTCTGCACTGTTATATTCATTACAGCTTTATTTCCAATAACCAAAATCTGGAAACAGTTTCTGTCCATGGATGAATCGGAAAAGAAACAGTGGTATATGCATTTGAACATTATTCAAACTTAAACAGGAGGATCCTGAAAGATATGCTTAGGGAACTAAGGTGAACAGAGAAATAAAAATATTGCATGAGCTCACAAATTGTTAGCTTTCTGTCACTAAAAATATCTGAGATAAAGAGAGGAAATGTTAATTTTGGCTCACATTTTAGGAGGTTTCAGTCCATTGTTAGTTGGCCTGTTGCTTTTGTACCTGTGGCGGCAGCATATTGTGGTGGGAGCTTGTGATGGAAGAAGCCCTTCACCTCATGGTAGTTGGCAGGGAGAGGAGAGGCTGGGGTTCCAATATCCCCTTCAAGGGCATGCCTCCAACAACCTAATTTCCTTGTACCAGACTATTGTGGTTTGGATGTGAGGTGTGTCCCCCAACAGCTCATGTGTGAAGCAGTGCAAGAATAGAGGTAAAATGATTTAGTTATGAGAGCTTTAACTTTAAACAGTCAATGAATGAATTAATCCCCTAAGAAGGATTAACTGAGTGATAACTGAAAGTGGGTAGAGTGTGGCAGGAATAGGCAGGTCATTGGGAAATGTGGCTTTGGTGAGCAGAGTTTATATGTTTGGTGAGCAGAGTTTAGTCTCTGCTTTCTGATCATCTTCATGTGAGCTGCTTCCTTCTGCCACTCTTCCACCATGATGTTCTGCCTCACCTCGAGCCCCAGGGAATAGAGCTGATTGTCTGTGGACTGAGACTTGTGAAATCTTGAGCACTCAATAAACTTTTCCTCCTCTAAAATTGTTCCTGTCAAGTCTTTTAGTCACAGCAGTGACAAATCTTGCTAAAACACAGACCATACCTCTTAAAGGTTCTGCTGGCTTCCAGATAGCTCCACAGGCTGATGACCAAACCTTTAATATATGAGCCTTTAGGGGATGCTTATCCAAACCATTAGCACATGTGGAATTAAAAGAAAAGAAAAGAATCAAATATTCATAGATAGAGAAAAACAGTGATCATCAAGGGCAGGTGGGTGGGTGGAATTAGGGAAATGTTAAGTCAAAGCTTAAAAAGTAGTATCCATTTAAAATGAAAAAGTCCAGAGATCTAATTTATAATACAAGGATTATAGTTAATAAAATAGTACTGTATTTGGGATTCCTATTAAATGAATCATTTTTAACTGCTTTTGCCACAGAAGCAAGCACACAAACAAAAGTATCTGATATTGTTTCAGTCGTTTTGTGTTAACAATAACAAAAAACTTGAGAACTAGGTGTAAAGGAAGGTAGTTGGTTTAGCTTGGACTTTTAAAAGTGGCTCTGTCTGGTTGGCCTCTGATGAGGGCCTTCTGACTCTGTCATAACATTGTAGATGACTTCACCTAGTGGTAGTACATGCAAGAGAGAACATAGAAAGCCAAAGAGTGAAGGATGAAAATACTTGTTTTTTAGTAGTCTGCTCTTATAGAAACCATCCTGTGAGAGTGAGGACCTAATGTTAAAAATAAAAATCCCTCCTAAAGATCTAATTACATCTCTTAAAGGTTCCACCAGCTTTCCACATTACCATATTAAGAGACCAAGCTTCCAGCATATAATAAACCTTTGAAGAACAATTCATAGCAGTGATGGACATGTTACTTTGCTTCACTTGAGTAACCATTTTGGTATTGATATGTATCTCTTAATGTTGTGTCATATACTTTAAATAAATACAATGAGATTTATTTAAGAAATAATACATGTAGTTCATATAAAAATAAACAACAGCTCACTAGGTGGTGCTGATGTCCACCTAGTTGAGAATCACTATTCTAAGCAGGAGTGGGCAGATAGTAAATATTTTAGGCCTTCCATGCTGAATGGTCTGTCACAACTACTCACTCTGCCATTGTATTATGAAAGCCATAGATGGTAGGTAAACTTTTTTTCTTTCTTGTGGCAGTGGTGTGGATTGAACCCAGGACCTCAGTGCATGGTAGGCAAGCATACTACCACTGATTCTCCAGCCCTCCAAAAGGTAATACAAAACCAAATGGGTGATACTGTATTCTAGTAAAATTTTTTTGCAAAAACAGAAGAGGAAGTATTTGACTTTTTTTTTTTTTTTCAATAGAGCCTGAACTTTAATTCTATGCTACATTATGGTATTGGTCAGTGAAGGAGTATAACTGTATTTGAGCTAACATGTGAGATGAATGACTTTGTTTTTAATGCTGTGGTATTCTCTTAATTGGTATTTAGATTTCTAAGTGATTAAATTATGTATGTTTGGGATTCAGTATGTAATAATTTATTTAAAATTTTTTTTAAGACATTGATGGACTTTTATTTTATTCATATGTTTGCATGTGGTGCTGAGAATTGAACCCAGTGCCTCACACATGCTAGGTAAGTGCTCTACCACTGAGGCACAACCCCAGCCCCTGTGATAATTTAATAAAAAGTTTTTCTCTATTTGGTCTCTTTCTTTATTTTGTAATGTACTTGTGTGAATAAAGTGTCCCTGTGTTAATGTCTCAGAGTTTTGGGAATAACTGTATTTTAGTAAATTCAGTTGGGTACAGTAAAGATTTGTTAATTGATTTTTTTTTTAAAAATGGTACTGAGGATTTAACCTAGGGGTTGCTTTACCATTGAGCTACATCTCTAGCTTTTTTGTAATTTTCATTTTGAGGCAGGGTCTTGCCAAGTTCCTGAGAGCCTCAGCCTCCCAAGTCTCTGGGATTACAAGAATGTGCTACCATGCCAGGCTGGTTCTTCTAATTTATTTATTTATTTTTACTAACAGGAAAGTTTATTGCATTGAGCTCATTCATTAAAAGAATAAAAAGTCAACAAATGATTTAACATCACATCTCAAAGTCCTAGAAAAAAACAAATCAACACCAAAAGCAGTAGAAGACAAGAAATAATTAAAATCAGAGCTGAAATCAATAAAATTGAAACAAAGGAAACAACTGAAAAAAATTGACCAAACCAAAGGTTGATTCTTTGAAAAAATAAATAAAGTAGATAAACCCTTAGCCATGCTAACAAAGAGAAAAAGAGAAAAATTCAAATTACTAAAATATGTGATGAAAAAGGAAATATCACAATGGCACATCTGAAATACAGAAGATAATTAGAAACTTTTTTGAAAATTTTTACTCCAATAAAATAGAAAATATCAAAGATATTGACAAATTTGTAGTGACATATGACCTACCCAAATTGAATGAGGAGGTCATACATGATTTAAACAGATCAATTTTAAGTAATGAAATAGAAAACGCCATCAAAAGCTAACCAATTAAGAAAGTCCAGGACCAGACAGATTCTCAGCCGAGTTCTATGAGACCTTCAAAGAAAAATTAAAGCCAATACTTCTCAAAGTATTGAATGAAATAGAAAAGGAAGGAACCCTTCCAAACTCATTCTATGAGCACCATCAGAACTTGGGCTCATTACACATTATTGCTTTTGATTCCTATTTACAAGCTCTAAAGGATTATAAATATGTAATGCAAAAATATTAAGTCACATGTAAGTTGTTACCTATTATAAGTTATGAATTAGTGAGGATTCGTGAAAAGGAAAAGGCTTTTTCTTTAGTCCTTAAGCCTATGACACAATTTCCATAGTAGTATTTCCTTTCATCCTCTAAAGATCTCCATTTCATGTTAACATTGTTTCCTTTGAACTTGGAATTTCTCTATGCAGAAGGTCAACTGAGAGTGCTGATAATTTGCACCATTGCCCATAGTATAGCAGTCTCCTATCAGGTAAGAACTGTGGATTGTTCCATGTTACCATTGGTGCCTCCCTGTGATGGCATCCAGCATTTGACTGAGCTGGATGTGGTAACTTGCAATATCTAGAGACAAATTGGAGGACTAGGCAGAAGGCTTTGGGATTATTTAAATGTTGATTGTCCCAAGTTCTTTAGTTTCTTGTTCCTTTGTGTCTTTGGTGAAAAGAAATAAGAAAAGGAAGCTTTGATGCACTTTAGAGTATGATACATCAAGCAGCTTGTGGCTCAGACATTGTTCTATGGATATGTTGGATATGATCTTGAAACCTTGACATTTCAGCTTGATGGATCAACCTGAGCTTTTTGGCTTCTTCCAGCAGATAACGTTCCTGCTCCAACTGTTGCTGTGCCAAACAGTTTGCTCTTTCTATCTCTGTTTGTCTTATTTGCTGCTGATGGAGTCTCTCCTTCTCTTTCATCATTTGCTGCATATGCCTACGAATCACCTCCACACTTTCTGCTTCAGCCTTGGCAGCCTCTGTTTTTGCACGTGCCTCTTTCATCTCCTTTTCCTTGGCTGTAAGAGCCTGGTCTGTCTGTAGAACAGTGTTACTCACCGACTCTTTGGACTTTAAATTCTTTTGCAGAACTTCCTCAGCCTGTGTTCCTTTCCTGGCTGCTGATGCTACTTTATCTTCAGCTTCTCTGTCTTCTGAAGGTAGAGATTATGGCCTCCTGGTTTAGAATAAAGCTCTTGCTTCACTGCTTCTTCCAGAGGACCAAAAATATCCTGAAGAAAGCTGAGCAATGATCTGAAGGGGCTTCTTCATTCTGCTTACAAATGTCTTTCTGCTTTGCATCTAGTAGGGTCTGTAATTCCTTCTGGAAACTTTGGTCCTCATCCTGGAACCAGTTCTTTGTGAATATTTCTATGGCCTCTCTCTTACTGGCCCTGAGCATTTCTAGCAGCTCCTGGAGGGTCTCTGTGGGCAGCTATACCTTCTGGCCCATCAGCTGGTCATAGTGGGCAAGTGCCTTTTGTACTGCAGCTGAATTTTCTCCCTGGGCCAGGACTGCCTTCTCCATGCAGGGCAGATCCCCATTGTTGATCCATTGACATAGGTCAGCCCCAGGTTTTCTAGACCTTATCTACCAAAAATCCGGAGCAGAGATCTTTTAGAATGGGCAGAAAAGCTGCTTTAAGGAGGGCTTGGTAAGGGTTAGTACCAATAGTTTTCCTTTAGTTTAGCTGTGATGAGTTCTGATAGGTTCTTCTAATTTTTTATAGTACAGTTCAAGAGATTAGGATAAAAGTAGCTAGAGAGTTTCATGAATTTTTGTCTTGATTTGGAAATGATTAATGAATCACTAGGCTAGAGATAGCCAAGACTGATTCTTTGAAACTATATTGTAAACTGGTTTAAGTGAGGAAATAGGCAGAATCAATGGTCGGACCAAATATTTCTTATTTTTTAGAGCTTCATTGTTACACATAATAGTTGGGTTCATCCCAGCAAATACATACATGAATGGAAATAGATTTGTTCATGATCCCCCTTTTCCCTGTTTTCCTCCCTCCCACTCTCAAATTCTCTTTCCTCTACTTAACTTCCTTTTGTTCATCTATTAATTTATATTTGATTGGTTCTTTATATTATCCTATCCTTCCCTCCCTGTTTTGTTTGTTTTACTCTAGTTTCTGCATGTGAGAGAAAACATTTGACCTTTGAGTTTCTGAGTATGGCTGATTTCACGTAGCATGATTCATTTCCATTTCCATTTGGGGTTCATTTGTTCTTTTTCTAAATCCTTGAGATAGAACGTAGTTTATTTATTTGGGATCTCTAATTTTACTCTTGAACTGCTGCAGTACTATCTTAGAAATTTTGATATGTTTTATTTCTGTTCTCGTTCGTTTCTAAGAACTTCTTGATTTCTAGTCCCATTTATTCTTTGATTTATTCTTTGAGACAGAATGGGGGGGCAGGGGTTGTGGCTCAGTAGTAGAGTGCTTGCCTAGCACGGGTGACGCACTGGGTTCAATCCTCAGGACCATATAAAAATAAGTAAATAAATAAATATAAAGGCATTGTGTCCACCTACAACTAAAAAAATAAAAATAAAAAGAGTATTGTTCAATCTCCATGAGTTTTCTATTTTTCTTGCTGTTGATTTCTAGCTCATGCTATTAAGATCTGATGGAATTATATCACTTTTTTGGTATTTGTTAAGATTTGCTTTGTGGCCTATAATATGATCTATTTTAGAACAATATCCATGCCCAGTTCAAAAGAAGTTAAATTTAGCTGTTTTGGGGTGGAATATTCTGTAGATGTCCATTTAATTTATAGTGTTGTTTAGGTTGGAGATATCTTTTTTGTGAATTTTTTTTATTGTTTTTTTTTTAAGAGAGAAAGAGAGAATGAATTTTAATATTTATTTTTTAGTTATCAGCGGACACAACATCTTTGTGTGTGGTGCTGAATATCGAACCCGGGTCACACGCATGCCAGGCGAGCACGCTACCGCTTGAACCACATCCCCAGCCCTTTTTATTGATTTTTTAAAAAATAAATGACAGTGGAATGCATTACAATTTTTATTACACATATACAGCACAACTTTTCATATCTCTGGTTGTATATAAAGTATGTTGACACCAATTTGTGTCTTCATACATGTACTTTGGATAATGATGTTCATCACATTCCACCATCCTTGCTAATCCCGTGCCCCCTCCCTTGCCCTCCTACCCCTCCAACCCATCTAGAATTCATCTATTCCTCCCATGTTTCCCCTCCCTACCCAACTGAGTCAGCCTCCTTATATCAGAGAAAACAGGTTGGAGATATCTTTATTGGTTTTATGTTTTGATGACCTGTCTATTGGTGATAAGGGTGTATTAAAACCACCCCATATTATTGTGTTGATGTCTATGTGGTATTTAATGTCATATAGAGTATTTTTACCATGTAATTTGGTGCTTTGACATTTGGAAAATAAATATTTACTATTGTTCTATCTTCTTGTTGAAGTGTTCCTTTTATTAGGATGTAGTGGCCTTCTTTTTCTCTTCTGATTAATTTTTGCTTAAAATCTGCTTTGTCATATATAAAATCTGCTTTTCTTGAACCACATACATGGAATTTTGTTTGCTATCCTTTTACCTTCAGCCTGTGGATCTTTGCCTATGAGTCTCTTATAAACAGCATATAGTTCAGTCTTGTTTTTTGATCTGCTAATCTAAATGTTTTAATTAGGGAGTAGAGATTAACATTCAGTGTTAA